GGGAAGCTGCAAACAGACTCAGGAGTGATTCCAATCTGACACCTCCCCCTACCCAGCCCCCACCAGTAATGAGCTGGGACCTGCCCTTCCCCCGAGAGAGCGGGGTGAGGGGCGGAGGAGGCTTTCTTGGGTATTTTTTTTTAGCTTCAAAAGCCTCCTTTCATTATCATCATCATCATCATCATCATCATCATCGCAATTAAAAGATCACATTTATTGAACACCTACTGTGTCCCAGGCACTGTGCTAAGTCTTTTTCATGTATCCCATCATTAATCCTCACCTACAAACCTTAAGCCTACATGGGAAGTAGTATTCTTACCTCCGTTTTACAGATTAAGAAACTGAGGCTCAATCAGAGTAAGTGACTTGCCTAAGGTAGGGCCCACATGTGGAACCGGCGCTGTCTGACACCCTGCTTTTGGTACCGGACTTCTGCCCCACCGAGAACTCCTTCAGGGAGGCGTGTATGTGTGGCCTCAGGGCTGGAGCTGAGTGGCGAATAAAGGCAGTGCACCCAGTACGCATCCTTGAAGTTCAGAATTGGGAAGAAAGACATTGGTAGACTGAGTCAGTGGGACAGGGACAAGTAGGATCCTGGCCTTGCCGCCAAGCCTCCCTGTCTGCTTTCCGTGCTCTCCGCTTCCACATGTATATACACTGAGAAGGGGCCAGGAAGTTCGGTGGAGGAGCAGGAGGAGGGACCTCCAGCACTGTTCACTGGCTGGGGAAGGGGAGGCAGAGGGATTCTGACTGGGGATGAGGACTGAAGAAGTGGGGAGGGGTTGCTGGGAAGAAGACCCCTGCCTCACAACCCCAGGAGCGAGGGGCTGAGCGGCTCTGCAGTGGAGCCTCGTGTTTGTAAACACCATTAATCAGGGATTAGCAGATGGGCCTGCTAATTGCACCTGTGGAAGTGAGAAACCTCAAGGTTGATTACATTTACAAACTGTGGGGATCCCTGGCACCTGGCCCTGCAGGAGTCGGTGGTGGTGGTGGTAGTGGTGTGTGCGTGTGTGTGTGTGTGTGTGGGGGGGTGCTGACTAATTTAGGACCCCAACCTAGGGGGAGGGGGATTGACAATTTAGCCTCCTGCCAAAAAAATACTCCAGGCCTGCAGCAGGGATCTGAGGTGCCAGCCTTGATTTAGCTGCTCTGAGAATACCAAGTCAGTGCCAATCCTTCTTAGACCCTTTCCGTCTTGGCATCTCAGGGTCTTGGAGTCCTGACAAAGGGGGCTCCTACAAATGTCATTCCAACCCCTCTCCTCCCTCAACTCCTTCCAGCAGTTCCCGGGGGTAAATCATTGTGCACTGCAGCTGAAGCGGGCCAGAGCCTACAGGAAAATTGAGGCCAGGTTGGTTGGGAAGCACAGCCCAGCGCCCTGACCTCTAGATCTAGCCCTAGAGGCTTCGAGGAGCAGCTACTGTGCTCCCCCAGGCATGGGGCTGAGAGTTTTACATGTATGATCTCTTTCAATCCATACCACCATCCTTTGAAGTGGACACCATTGTCCTCCCAATTTTATAGACGATGAAAACTGAGGCTTGGAATTTAAGGGACACGTCCACATTTATACTTCTAGCAAGCCACAGAGTTGGAACTCAAAGCAAGCACTGTCTAGCAGCCAGGCTCCTGCTTTTAACCACCACTGCTCTCTCCTCTGACTTCATTCCAACTCTGCCCTGCAGGGGATGGACCCCCACCCAGCCCCTTCACACCCATACCCACAGCCTCCCCAGCTCCTGTGTACTTAACCCACGCTTGCTGAGCAGTGTCCACTCCGTGTACAGGCACCGCGCCAGGCACCAGAGGCTGCTCAAAGGAGAATCAGACCTCACTCTCCTCATCCTTAGGACCTCAGACCCTCCCTCTTTGTTGGGGGGACTGCCTGTATACCGGAAATAAGCACACATCTATGTGTGCATGGCCTGTAATTTATAGCCTCAATCCCCTTTGGTTTAAGTGAACCTGTCTTCCCAGAGGCCAGCCAGCCTGCTGCCCAGGGAGTGAAGCAGGGAGAAGCCCCTTGTACCTGACGAAGCCCAGGAGAGTCTTCCGGATGGCCCAGACAGGGAAAGCTGATGAACAGCATGCCCAGGGCAGGTTAGATCGGGTTCCAGCCACCATGGAGGAGTCTGTGAGGGGTGGGGTACCTGAGTAGCCCCTACTCCAACTTCTAAGTTCCATGTTGGGCTTGGTTCTAGAGAGCAAGCTCAACTCTGCACCCCATATGCGGGGAGCACTGGGACGCCTACATTCATTTTCATCAAGTGTATTAGGTTTCTCCAGAGAAACAGAACCAACTGTGTGTGTGTTCAAGAGATTATAAGGAATTGGCTCAGGCACTGATGGAGGCGGGCAAGTCTCAAGATGTGTAGGGTGAGTCAGCAAGCTGGACGCCCAGGAGAGCTGATGGTTTCATTCCAGCCTGAGTCTGAAGGCCTGAGAACCAGGAAAAACAATGGTATCATCTCCATTCAAAGGCCAGAACGCTTGAAATCCAGGAAGAGCTGATATTTCAGGTCTAGTCTGAAGGTAGGAAGGCTTCTCTGACTTGGGAGAGGTCAGACTTTTTGTTCTATTCAGGCCCTCAACTGAATGGATGAGATCCACTCACATTAGGGGTCTGCTTGACTCAGTCTACCAATGTAAACGTTCATCTCTTCCAAAAACAGCCTCATAGAAACATCCAGAATGTTTGACCAAACATCTGGGCAACCCACGGCCCAGTCAAGGTGATACATAAAATTAACCATCACATCAAAGTCTGTATTATTGTGTGCTAGTCCTGGGGTGCAGTGTCCTCTGGTTTACAGAACATCTTTTACTGATACTCTCTCATTTTATTTTTATAACTTCTGCTGAAAAGGAAGGGGATAGATAGGGCTGGTAATAATGGTACTATCCCCAAGACGAGGAGGCTGAGAAGCCATCTAAGTGTAAAGCCACAGACCCAGGACTCGAATGAGCACCTTCCAGAACCCGAGGGACAGATGAAATCTCACCCTCACCTAAACTTTCAGGCATGAGCTCAAAAGCACAGGTGTGCATGAGAAGCAGTTTCGTGGACATGAGTGGGTGGCTCAAAGGCCACTGACTCTTGAACCTGGCCACACAATGAGATCAACTAAGTAGCTTTAAGAAATACTGGCCAGTAGGCCAGGCGTGGTGGCTCATGCCTGTAATCCCAGCACTTTGGGAGGCCGAGGTGGGAGGATCACCTGAGGTCAGGAGTTCGAGACCAGCCTGGCCAACATGGTGAAACCCCATCTCTACTAAAAATACAAAAAATTAGCTGGGTGTGGTGGCTCACGCCTGTAATCCCAGCTACTCGGGAGGATGAGGCAGGAGAACCGCTTGAACCCGGGAGACGGAGGTTGCAGTGAGCCAGGATTGTGCCACTGCACGCCAGTCTGGGCAACAGAGCAAGACTCCATTTCAAAAAAAGAAAAAAACCAACACATGGCTCCTTCTCCAGAGATTCTGATTTAATCAGTCAGGTGCCTCTGGGCTTCTGAAATATTAAAAATATCCTCCTCCTTGACCCCAATGACAAGCCAAAGTGAAACATCACTACACTAGGCGCTTGGCCAAGAACGAAGCAGGGATGGGTCAGAGCCTGTGTGGCAGTCAGGGACAGGGAGCTCAAGCGGGACAGATGCTGATCAGTGCAGTTTATGAAGGAATTCTGTCCTCTTTCTTGAGAGGCGTAACTTTGACTTTAAAAAGATCTTAGGAACTTTTTAGGCCAGGCACGGTTGCTCACCTGTAACACTAGCACTTTGGGAAGCTGAAGCGGGCAGATCACCTGAGGCCAGGAGTTTGGGACCAGCTTGGCCAACACAGGGAAACCGTATCTCTACCAAAAAAATATAAAAATTAGCTGGGCGTGGTGCACATCTGTAGTCCCAGCCACTCAGGAGGGTGAGGCAGGAGAATCGCTTGAACCTGGGAGGCAGACGATGCAGTGAGCCGAGATTGCGCCACTGTATTCCAGCCTGAGCAACAGACTGAGACCCTGTCTCAAAAAACAAGGAGCTTAGGCCCTTTTTAAACAATTTCAAGTGTTGCTCTAAACTGGCATTGCCGTTAGAATTCTGAGAAAAATCCATTGCAGATGGATTCCAGAGAAAAGGGGAGTACGATTTATTGAGCACCTCATATATATGAGGCACTGGGTTCCTATTGCCCTCCATATTCTCCCAACAATCCAGGAAGGTAGGATTATTCCCCTTTCGCCCAGAAGGGCACTGAGGCCCAGATGGGTAAGGAGCCCGCCCAAGGTCATATAGCAGTCAGGACTGCAATTTCGGGGTTGCTATCCTCCAAAGCCACGCCCCAGGAGGGGAGATTTTTGTCTCTCAGAAGCCATTTGGCAATGTCTGGAGACATTTCTGGTTTCACAATGGGGGGTCATGCTACAGGTATCTAGTGGGTATAGGTGGGGGATTCTGCTAAACATCCTACTGTGCACAGGATGGCTCTCACAACAAAAACTTACCTGGCCCAAAATGCCAAGGGTGTGCAAGTTGAGACCACCTGCCCTAGTGGTTCTCAGCCTTGGCTGCACGTTAGACCAATGGTGGCGCTTTCGAAAGCCGATGTCAGGTGGCGGCACGCCCATCATGTCAGACTCTCTGGTGTCAGTGCTGGGTTTTTGTAAAGCATGCCAGGTGGTTCCAATGTGCCACCAGGACAGAAACACTTCTATGTTCCTCACACTGCTGGCTCCTGCTGCTTTCATGGGACCCGAGGGCAGGAGTGCCAAATCTGTCTCGGTTGTACAATCAACGGCAAGCCTGCTCCCAGTTCCTCCCCTGGAGGGGAACCGACTCAGTCACCCATGGGGGGCCCCGTCGGGTGAGAGTGTTTGCTAATTTCCCCTCGCCTCTCACGGGGCTGCAGCCGGGAGTCTCCCCACAAGGAGGCTGTGGAAGCTGACTAAAGACTGGACTGAAGAGCGAGGCTGCCACCTAAAGGAGGAATTGGCCAGAATCTCCCAGGTGCTGAGTGATGTTTTATTCGAGCCTCACAACAACCCCGTGACGTAGGTGCACAGTCCAGAGGCACAGAAAGATGAGACCTGTGCTCGAGGCCCCAGGGTGGGGCCGTGTGTAGGCCTGACGTGTGCACTGTCTACCCCACGTCAGGGCCCTGCCCTCCACACCTCACATTCTCACACACACATTTGCCACAGGCAATGACTGGTTCAAGAGGAACGGGCCCCCTGGGCTGGGCTGCCTGCCTCCCTGCAGATGTCTAGACTTCCCCTCAACTTCCAGACAGGGCCTGGGAGGAGAGTCCCTCCATGCTAGGCCATCATGGCTTCCCATGGAAATTAACAAACTACCATGTCCTACTACAGGTCCAACATCACAACAGGAAACAGCTTCCTCTGGTCTCCACCGCAGTCCCCTTCCCCACGAGACCGTGGTCAATAAACATGGGCCTGGTGCACACTCAGGCAGAGGCTCCTGCACACTGGAGCAGGCGGAGGCAGGTGCGGCCGTCCCTGACCCCAGCATGTGAACACTGTGGACAGTCCACGTCAGCTCTCATTTTGCCTCTCTTTCTCTGATCCTGAAGACAGCCCTGGGTGCTGAGCCACGCTGAGTCCTTCAGACCTGGCTGAGGGTTCTTGCGGGTCTTGGAGAAGTTGCCTTCTCTCCCCTTCTGTGGGGAAACCCTTCCACTGGCTGCAAATGGAGTGAAGAAGAATTCCTGCACAGACACAAGGACAAGGGAAGAGAGGACGGAGGAGAGGGATGATGTTTAGAGACCGAGACATGTGTCAGGCAGTCACTCATTTCATCAACAGGATATCATTTCCCCATTTTGCATATAAAGCAACTGAGGCACAGAAACAGCCAGCAAATGGGATTAGAGGGCATCAAATCCCACCTGCATGATTAGAGGGAGAGAGGAAAGGGAAGGGGGAGTAGACTCACCTGCAGCCACAGAGACGTTCAAGGACTCAAGTCCAGGAGGCAGCTGGCGCCGGGGCAGGATGGTGAGGAGAAGCTGACAGGAGGCCTGCACCTCTTGGGACAGACCTGACCCCTCATTCCCTGCAGGGCATGGGGCCGAGGGTTAGGGTTGCCCAGCTGGACATCCAATTGCTCGGGAAATGTAATCTGGGCACAAAAGCAGGGACATCCACCTACCCAGCACAAGGAGAGTAGGCCGATCCCAGGGGAACTCCAAGCAACTCGTGATGGGGATCTCGGAGGACTGGGGATCCTCTGCCCTTGGGCAGCCCACTGTGCCGGCCACGAGCCAGCCCTGCTGGGCTTTGGTCTGAAAGGGGGAAGAAGACATGTTCTAATTCTTTTTTTATTTTAATTTTGAGATAGGGTCTTACTCCTGCTTAGGCTGGAGTGCAGTGGCACGATCACAGCTCACTGCAGCCTCAACCTCCGGGGCTCTGGTGATCCTCCCACCTCAGCCTCCCAAGTAGCTGGGACTATAAGCACTTGCCACATCACCCGGTTAGAAAACAAATTTTTGCAATTTTTTTTTGAGATGGCGTTTCACCACGTTACCCAGGTTGGTCTGGAACTCCTGGCTTCAAGCGATCCTCCCGCCTTGGCCTCCCAGAGTGCTAGGATTACAGGCATCAGCCACCACGCCTGGCTCTCATATTCTAATTCATCAAATCTTCATCAGAGGCCGTACGCGGTGGCTCAAGCCTGTAATTCTAGCACTTTGGGAGGCTGAAGCAGGCAGATTACCTGAGGTCAGGAGTTCAAGACTAGCCTGGCCCAGGCACAGTGGCTCACGCCTGTAATCCCAGCACTTTGGGAGGCCAAGTAGGAGGATCACCTGAGGTTGGGAGTTCAAGACCAGCCTAACCAACATGGAGAAACCCCGTCTCTACTAAAAATACAAAATTAGCCAGGTGTGGTGGTGCATGCCTGTAATCCCAGCTACTTAGGAGGCTGAGGCAGGAGAATCGCTTGAACTCGGGAGGCAGAGGCTGCAGTGAACTGAGACTGCGCCATTGCACTCAAGCCTGGGCAACAAGAGTGAAACTCCATCTCAGAAAAAAAAAAAAAAAGCCAGGTGCAGTAGCTCACACCTGTAATCCCAGCACTTTGGGAGGCTGAGGCAGGTGGATCACCTGAGGTCAGGAGTTTGAGACCACCCTGGCTAACATGGTGAAATCCCGTCTCTACTAAAAACACAAAAAAACTAGCTGGGCATGGTGGCACATGTCTGTAATCCCAGCTACCTGGGAGCCTGAGGAAGGAGAATCGCTTGAACCGATGAGGCGGAGGTTGCAGGGAGCTGAGATCACGCCATTGCCTCCAGCCTGGGCAACATGGTGAAACTCTGTCTCTACTAAAAATACAAACATCAGTCTGGCCTGGTGGCGGGCACCTGTAATCCCTGCTACTCAGGAGGGATTCTCTTGAGACTAGGATGTGAGAATCTCCTGAGACCAGGAGGTGGAGGTTGCAGTGAGCCGAGATTGTGCCACGGCACTCCTGCTTGGGTGACACAGTGAGACCCCATATCAAAAAAAGAAAAAAAAAATTCTTCATCAGAGCCCTGGCCAAGGAGGAGCCCAGCCTTGCCCATACATTCATTTATTTGCTGATCCAGTCAATCAGTCAATAGATATTAAGCATCTAGCATGGGCTCTGTTCTAGGCACTGGGGACAGGGCAGTGAACAAAACAAAACAGACCAAAATCCCAGCCTTGTGGAAGGGCAGGTGGGGACGGACTCACTGAGGTGACATTTCAGTGCAGACCTGAAGAAGAAGGAGGAGCACCGTGCAGGCATCTGGGGCAAGAGCACTCTAGGCAGAGAGACCAGCAAGCACAGAGGCGGGTGCCTGACTGGCATGTTTGAGAATAGTAAGATGGCCGTCAAGACAGAAGAGGGAACAACAGCCACATGAGGTAGGGTCTCCAGGGCTACTGGAAGGACTGTGACTTTGAATCTGAGCGGTACAGAGGCTTTGAAAGGTTTTGAGCAGAGAAGTAACATGGTCTGACTTCAACAGAATCACTCTGCCTGCTGTGCTGAGCGCCAAGAGCAGAAGCAAAGAGGCCAGGTGGGAAGTTTCTGCAATAATGGTCAACAGATGATGGTGACTTGCTTGGGTCAGAGTGGTAGCAGTGGAAATAGGGAGAAAGGGTGATAATATGGAAATAACTTCAGTTAAGGATGATGCCAAGGCTTTTGACCTAAACAATCAAAGGGATGGGGTTGCCCCAGAAGGAACAGGTGCTCAGCTTTAGAAATGTTAGGTTTGAAATGCCCACCTGACAGCAAAACAACAACTGTGGAGTAGGCGACTAGATGAGTGAATCTGGAATTCAGAACCAAGGTCCAGGCTAGAGTATACACTTGGGGGGAAATTTGAATTCAGATAGTATTTAAAGCCATGAGACTAGATGAGACCAAAAAGAAATGAACCTATACAGAAAATAGATCCAGGACCAGGTGAGGTGGCTCATGCCTGTAATCCCAACACTTTGGGAGGCTAAGGCAGGAGGACTTTTTGAAGCCAGGTGTTTGAGAACAGCCTGGGCAACAAAGTGAAATTCATCTCTACCAAAAAAAAAGAAAGAAAGAAAGAAAGAAATTAGGTTCTATGGTGTGCACCTGTATCTCCAACTACTCAGGAGGCTGAGGTGGGAGGATGGCTTGAGCCCAGGAATTCGGAGGCTGTACAGAGCTGTGATTGTGCCACTGCCACTTTAGGCTGTGGCAAGACCCACATCTCCCCATCTCTTTTTTTTTTTTTTTTTTTTTTTTGAGATAGAGTTTCACTCTTATTGCCCAGGCTGGAGTGCAATGGTGCAATCTCGGCTCACTGCAACCTCGCCTCCTGGGTTCAAGCAATTATCCTGCCTCAGCCTCCCGAGTAGCTAGGATTACAAGGGCCAGCCACCATGCCCAGGTAATTTTTGTATTTTTAGTAGAGACAGGATTTCATCATTTTGGCCAGGCTGGTCTCGAACTCCTGACCTCAGGTGACCCACCTGCCTCAACCTCCCAAAATTCTAGGATTACAGGCGTGAGCAACCACGCCTGGCCAAACCACATCTCTTAACAACAACCACGCCCGGCCAAGACCCCATCTCTCTTTTTTTTTTTTGGACATAGAGGCTTACTCTGTCACCCAGGCTGGAGTGCAGTGGCACGATCTGAGCTCACTGCAACCTCCATCTCCCGGATTCAAGCAATTCTCCTGCCTCGGCCTCTGGAGTAGCTGGGACTACAGGCGCCCACCACCACATCCAGCTAATTTTTTGTATTTTTAGTAGAGATAGGGTTTCACCATGTTAGCCAGGATGGTCTCGATCTCCTGACCTTGTGATCTGCCCGCCTCAGCCTCCCAAAGTGCTAGGATTACAGGCATGAGCCACTGCGCCCAGCCAACCCCATCTCTTAACAACAAAAGAGACCCTAGGACTAAAATCTGGGAAATGCTAATGCTCGGATGTCAGGGGGTTGAGGAAGAACCACTAAAAATGCCTCAGGACATGGTGAAGCAGAAGGAAAGCAGGTGCAGAGTGTTTCAAGGAGGAAGGAGTGGTCAGCTGTGCCAGCTGCTACAGATGGGCCAAGTCAGAAAAGAATTAAGAACAGACCCTGGAATGCAGCAACATGGAGGTCACCCGTGACCTTGACGAGGCCTTTGATTCAGTGTGAGAGGAGGGGCTGACTGGTGTGAGATCAAGAGCGTGAGAAGGGAATGTTTGTTTGCATGCTGAAGAGAGTGTAAGAGAAAAGTGGATGATGCAGGAGAGAGGAGGAAAACTGCTAGAGCAGTGTCTCTGAGTACCCAGGAAGGGATGGGGCCCCAGCACAAGCCCCTGCTTGGGGCACCTCCAGCTCTTCCACAGCAGCAGGCGGACGACACTCTCCAGGCCAGATGCTGAAGACACAGTAGGGAGATGTGATGACGGGAGCTTAAGTGGATGTTCTGCAGTGTTTCTGTGTTTTCAGAAGCTACCTGTTCAGGGGCTGGAAGTGATGAGTGGGAACCTCATCTCCTATCAGGCTTGGAGAAAGGGGCTCCCTACAAAAAGGTGACGCCAAAAAACTGCTTCTAGATATGTGTTGTTCAATATAGTAGCCACTAGCTACATGTGACTATAAAGCAATTGAAAGGTGGTTAATTCAAATTGAGGTGTGTTGTCTGTAAAACATTTTTTAAAGGAATGTAAAATATTTCGTTAATAATATTTTTAAAAGGTCAGGTGCGGTGCCTCACACCTGTAATCCCAGCACTTGGGGAAGCCGAGGTGAGTGGATCGCTTGAGGTCACGAGTTCAAGGCCAGCCCGACCAACAGGGTGAAACCCCATCTAAACACACACAAAAAAATTAGCCTGGCATGGTGGCCTGTGCCTGTAATCCCAGCTACTTGGAAGGCTGAAGCAGGAGAATCGCTTGAACCCAGGAGGCAGAGGTTGCAGTGAGCCAAGATTGTGCCATTGCACTCCAGCCTGGGCAACAAGAGTGAAACTCTCTCAAAAAATTAATAATAATAATAATTAAAATGATTACAAGTTAAATTGATATTATTTTGGATATACTGGGTACAATTTATTTAAAATGTCATCTCTTTACTTTTCAATGTGGCTACTAGAAAAGCTAAAACTACCTATGTTTCTCGCACTACATTTTAACCGGACAGCACTGCTCTCTAGACACGCCCCAGAGCTCTCCCACTTCTTGAGAGGGAAATTTCTCACCCTGCAGATGGGGTGGGGGTTGGGGGCAGTGGGTATGGTCAGAGGGGATTCCAAATGCGGAGCAATACTGCCCCCTTGTGTCCAGCGAGGGAAGCACAGCTGAAGACGGATGGGAGAGGGGTGCTTCCAAGGTTTGTCCCTTGCTAGATATTAATGGCATACTGATCTCCTTGTTCAAACATCCTTTCAAGCTGTGCCCTATTCGAGGAACTCAGGCATCCTGTCCACCAACAAAATGCATTTACTGAAGCCCGACCTAGTAGGCAAGGAGACACTGAGGCTGACTTACAGAAGAGGCAAAGTGGTGCATACCTGGGAAGGGGTGCAGGAAAGGGTATGACGATAGGAAGAATTCAGATAATGCTCCAATTGCCGTTTTAAATACTCCAGGACCCTCCCATCCCCAGAGGGATTTGGAAGGCCGAAGGAAACGATGCCAACAGGCCCCTTTCTCTCCCTCGCCAGGAGCTAGCTTCGTCCCCTTGAAGAGGCTGAACTGGGCTCATATCTGTTCCTTACCCTCTTGCCCCTCATTACCTGTAAAAATCCAGTGAGGTCATCGGTGGAGAACACGTCCATCACCTCCATAGCCCCCGCGCTGGCCTTGCTGACTACTGGAGTGAGCGGGCAGCTGCAAGGTTTCCCCATTCCCCGCATTAGGCTGGGCCATCTCAAGCCCGGCTCCCTACCCTCCCCGGGCTCCCAAGGGCTAGAGGCGTGAGAGTTCTGGGACAGGTGAGTCTGGCTAAGGGATCACCCAAGGGCCAAGGTGCTTAGGAACTTGGCTGCATCTCCAAGTTGGGGCACATGGAGAATGAGGGACGTCCGTGCCTGTTTCTCCGGCTGGTGATGACCTTATCCACTCCGAGGAAGTGTGCGGAACGCAGCACAGCCCCAAAATTCCGGGGATCCTGGATCCCTTCGAGGACGAGCCACAACTGCTGGGGGTCGTCGCCTGGGCTCGCCTCCCCGGCCTCACTCCAAGGCCGGGGCCGCAGCGGGCTCACCTCCATGCAGACACCCTGGTGGACCTGGTAGCGGCACATTGTGTCCAGTTTCTGCCGTCTGGGCCGTAGAACTGGAATGTCCCGCGCCTCGGCCATCCGGAGCAGCTCGGCCCGCTCCCCCTGCAGCCCAGCTTTACCCGCCTGGAGCAGGAGCCGGGCCACGGAGCGGCGGGCGGCCCGCAGAGCCAGGAGACACGGGGACAGGCCAAACAGAAGCTCCAGCCGCGAGGTCGGCACCAGGTCATCCAGCAGCAAGCGGCTTAGCTCCTCCCCACCAGGCCGCTCCCCACGCCGCGCTGCATGGGAGAAATGACGGGTGACGAGGCGACCCCAGGTCGCGCCCCGGATGGTCGAGAGCAGTGCCATGGCGCAGCTCCCGCCAGGGACTCGATGCCCCCTGCTGCGTCCCCGGGAACGGTAACCCACGCCGCAGTTCGCTCCCAGGCTCCCAACACAGGGGTGAAGGGTACTCGACAACTGCCTCCGCCGAGCTCTCTCGGACAGGAAGAAACAGGCCGCATTCCCCACAACTGGACTAGAGAGCTACGACTGTCCCCTCCCAAGCTCCCACGTGGGTTCCCTCGCTTCCGGGTTCGGGAGCCCACCCCCAGTCCCTGGCGCCTCTTCCTGACGGTGTTTTGCGCATGCGCGGTCGCCAGGCTGTCCCCACAGCACCTCCTACAGGACTAAAGGAGCAGCGAGCTGAGCTGGCCGTACTACCGGCTGCGTCCTGTGTTCCTCGAGGTCAAGGAGGTCGGGGACTGCATTCACTCACGCACCAGCGAAGGGCACTTTAAGGAGATGGGTTGGCCTTCCTGGTCAACCAATTCAGTCTTGTTGCCTCCCTCCCCACATCCCGGCGCTGGTGATTTTCCCCAGAACTACTACTCACTAGCTCATCACCAGCCAGCAGGAGGACCCCAACAGTCACTTCCTATCCCGGGCCCCTGATTCTCTTCCTAAGTGACTCTGAGCCTGTCCTGTCCCTGCTGATAAGCCCACTAACGCCCCCGTCCCACAGGGAATGGCGAGACTTTTGCGCAGCACTCAGCACCCCAGCGATCCAGGAAGGCAGGAAGGAGCTGCCTCTTCAGCCCCATCTTGCTCCTGCACTTAAGTTCGGTGCTGTTGGCACAGCACTACATGCTCTTCCAGGCCTCTCAGCCTTGCACACCTGTCTTCTTCGCTTTGTCAAACTCCTACACGTTTTCAAGGCCCAAACAAACCCATTCCTGCTACCTAAGGTAATCCATACTCCCATGAGTGAGGCCCCCAATCCACCCACCAGGTAGGTCCCAGGTGGGACCGACCTGGAAGAAATTCTGAGACACAAGCACCCCTGATCACAGAGAAGGGGAAAGAATGGAAAGACACACTCCTGAAGCCAAGGCAGATTGGTTGCAATTTTTCTTTTTTAATGATCACCATGAAATCCTCTGGACCAGGCCCTGGTATTCTGCTGCCATAGTCAGAATGGAGGGATGACCCCACGAGGGGACGAGAAGCCAAGATTGGGCTGGAGAGCCCAGAAGGAGAAAGAGAAGGGGAAGAGGGAGCAGTGGGGTAGGCAGAGGAGGAAGTCTGGAGCCCTGGATAACCACGCAGATATAAGGTGAAGGCCTCCCTCTGCCACCCCAGCCCTGAGCCGCAGAGGTTGAGGTGCAAGAAGATGGGGGGAATTTTGGCCACAACTCCTTTCCCATATCAAAGGGAAGAGACTGAGAGCAGACAAAGGCCACGGAGCCCAGGGGGACCAAGAACAAGTTAACAAGTAAATCAATTAGGGACACCACCTCCTTTCCCCAGCCCATTTTTCACATTTACAACCGAAGCAATTTGACAAGATGATATAAAAATCTCAAACAAATTGTCTAGCCCCTGGTCAGGGTGTGGACAGGAAGTGGTATCCAGTGATCCAGAAATCAACACCTAAAATCCAGAGGCAGGAGGCAAGCCATGAAGGGTGGGGAGGGAAGGAGGAGCTCCCACAGTCACTAGGTCACCTGCTCCGTGGGCCTCATCTGGATGTCTCCAATCTGTGGAAGGCACAAGGCATGAGGCAGCTGCGACACTCTCCCCTAGCCCTGCAGGGCTCCCTGCTCCCCTCCTCTGGGGCTGGTTGGGTTCCTCCAGCAAGTGGACAGTCAGGGTCAGACTCACCTGGATGTGTGGGGGGGTGCTGAGGACGTAGATAACAGCCTCGGCCACATCCTCGGGTTTGAGACACTGAGAGCACCAGGGGAACGGGTTGAGACAAGGACAGAATGGACTCAAATTCCCTCCCACCACTGAGCTCCTCTGCAGCATCCACATGTCCACCCCAACCCTCCAGGAGGAGCCACAAAAGCTGGAAGGGTGGAGTCTCAAGGCCAAGGTTCCCTCTGCCTTCATTTAGGGGGTCAGTGGCTTCACCAGGCCCAGAGGGAGGCCCCACCTTCATTTGCTCATAGGTGGCAGCTGCCTTCTCAGGGTCCTTGTCGTGGAGTTTGAAGGCGAACTGTGTCTCCACCACACCTGGAGAGATGCACTGGGCCAACAGAGAGGGCCTGCTTAGGGGCTGAGCTTTGCCAGGCCTTGAGGAGGTTGAGGGGAGAGGATGGAGGCCACAGAACCCCAGCTTCACAGTGACGGCTGCCCAACATCCAGCAGCCGCTTCCTCCCTCCGAAGCTGCCGCTGGCGGTGACCACAGTGATACCTACCATCTACAGAGCCTTTCCTATATGTCAGGTAAACGTTTTACAAAAAAGTGTCCCTAAAAAGCTCATCATCTCCTTTTCACAAGTGAGAAGGCCGAGGCTTGGGGAGGTTCAGTGACTCGCTCACGATCACGCGGCCTTCAAGAGAAGAGCCCGGAGTCCCGGTTTCCAGCCACTGTGCACCTGGTTTCCCACAGTCCCTTGCTTTCCCTCAGGTCAGCCCCCTCCCAGCTCAAAGTCTAAGACTGGTCCTTGGCTCCTGGATCAGTGAAATGAGGAAATGAAGGGCTGCACAGGGCCATGCCGGGAGCAGCAGCACCCAGTTCTGTGCCAGTCCACTCCCGGGAGCTCTAAGCGGCACATTCTGAACATGGGCTTCCTGAATGGTGTGTATGGGTGGGGAGGGCCTGCGCCACCCCGTCCCCACCAGGGCTAGGCCACAGCCTCACCGTGGCTCGGATGTGGGTCTGGGCCTCCCGAAGCTCTTGCCTCAGTCCCTCTGTCAGCGCAGTGACGGCGTACTTGGTGGCACTATAGAAGTGGGTCACAGACAGGGGTAACACTCGGTGGCCAGACATGCTGGGTGGGGAGAGGAAGGGGAAAGAGGAGAGAATGAAGCTCCAGGGAGACCAGCAGTGCCCCTGCCATACCCGGTCAGCCCCACCACCCAGATGTGCATCGGAAAGCCTTCTAAAGGGGACCTCTAGTGGCCATCTCACAGCTCATTAATCTAATTTTGGTTATTCAAACAGCTTCGGAAAACCTTCCTTTTCCTGGAAGTTATCCCTAAGCTGACCACAGAATGCACTCGCCTGGTGGTGCAGAATGTCAAAACTCTTTCCGTCTAATCTGTATGTTCACTGATATGATTCTATTGGGACATCTCAGGGCAGGAAGAGGTCATGTTCCCCCTCAGACTGGGGCTCCCCAGTGGCAGATACTGTACATAGTCTTTCTTTGTGCCATGAGGTGGGGTTCATCCCCAGGCCTGAGGAATAGAGGCACTCAGTCCCAGGAGAGGCCTCAGGCTTCAGCTGTAGAGGGAAGGAACTGAGCTGCCCATTCCAGCCAACCAGGGGATGGTACTTGACAACATTATTCTTTCCCTCACCATAATTGTGCCATTCGGGTATTAAATCTGTACTTTCCCACCAAGGAAACTGAGGTCCAAAGAGGTCAGGTGAGCTGCAGCACATTACCCAGCCTGGTGGGTGAGTGGTACCCCTTGGCCACCTGCCCTCACCTATTGATGTTAATGATGTGCCCATCGTCCACATTCCGCTCCTTCATGGACTGGTAGGCTTCCCGTGTGCAGATGCTGAGGGCCAGCACGTTCACCTGCAGGCCAGGGAGGGCAATGAGGTGTCTCCACTCCAGCCCAACTGAGCAAGTGATGGAGCCACAGAATGCGAGGGGGGAAGGGGGCAATGTGGCATTCTAAAACAGTGTCCAGGTCCTCCCAGAGACCAGCCACAGGCACAGGGCACCTTGTCTTCTACACAAGATGCCCCTCTCCTTAAAGCTGCAACCCCCAGTTGATAGCAGAGGTAGCTCCTCACCTGGCTGACCCCCCAAGTTCCTGCAAACAAGAATGGAAACCCTTCAAACCCACTCCTGACCCAGGAGACTCTGTCTTGGCCATCTCCTCTATGAACAGTAGCACAGACCCTCTAATTCCATAGGGAATCGTTTCCATTTCTTCCCCCAAATACGCTACTCTTCCCTTCGCTATGGGAGTCTGGCCCTGCTCCCTCCTAAACTGCTCAAAATCCTTACCAAAATGGCTTACAAATCTCTCTCCTCTGGCACAGAGCCTAGCCTTTCCCTGCCTTCCTTAGCTACTCTCTGCTCCTTCCCCATCCCCTCCCTTGAGATGAGTGGAGAAGAGAAGGCCTGACCCTCCTTTCTATGCCTTCCTTTAACCTGGGTTCCATCTACAAGACTAGGCACGGAGACTCTAGAGGGTCAGGTAACTTCCCACTCCTACTCCCTCTGGCAGAGGCGACCCCCACATCCCCACCCTTCAGGGAACAGAGGTCTGAAGGTGTGTCTGCTGCAAAGCACCTACGCTGCCCCACCCATTGGCCCCACTCATTAGCCTCACTCAGAGGACAAGCAGAGATAAAGCTTTTAGCAGGTCCTCAGGCCTCTCCTCTTAGGAAGAGACGGAACCAGCAGGAGATCAGATGTTTCTCTTAATCAGGTGTCAGAGCCTGCCATGAGGAACGGAACACCTTTGGTGTGAACCTGCCTTGGTGTTCACGGCAGTAGAAAGAGATGGGTACCAGGACAGGGAGGTTTCCAGCCCTGTTTCTCATCTTCTTGGCAATGTGGGCTTGTGAGGCAGAGAACTCAGCTCCTGGCAGGCAGAGTAGGAGAAATAGATCCCCTGGGACCAGGTGAGTAAATCTCCCAGGTCTAGGGGATCAGGGGCAGAGAAAGAGAAGATGCCTTATAGGATGATCCTAATAGATTTAGATAATGTTCAAGCTGAAAGGAGCTGTAGGAATTTAATGTAAGTCCCTCATTTTACAGATGGGCGAGTTAAGGTCCAGGTCTTTAAAGACCCATGTGCTGTGAGTGAGGATCATGGCTCTGATCTCCAAGAAGGCTGAGGGCTTCATTTTCATGGCTTCATTTCCAGGTCCAAGCATCTATGAGGTGCTAAGATAAGGTGCTAAATCTACTGTCAGCAGATGGGAAAGGATTGTGGGGAGAGAAGAACATCCCACTCACACACTGCTTTCAACTTATCAGGATACTTTCATACCCTACTATCACCCCATCATACCATCTACAAGTTGAAAACCCATGTCCTGAAAGTTGGGTTTGGCCTGTGCATGGTTTCAAAACATTTTAAATACCCTTCCAACATGTACTGGAAAGTTTCATTT